TATAGCACAGGAGAGCATATTCTTGAGAAGTGGCTTGATGTTGTGTTTAAGAGCACAGATTTGAGAGCTTGACTTCAAATCACAGCTGTCCTCTTCTAGTCATGTGTGACCATGGGCAAGTTACTTAGCATCCTTGTGCCTTAGTTTCCTTACCTTTAAGAATGGGGATAAAAAGAGTGTCATAAGACTTTTGTGAGAATAAAAGGAGTTATATATATAAACCTTTCAGAAGTTAGCGGCACGTGGTAACTATAAACTGATATTATTGTACTAAGAAAGAGAAGAGCAAATCAGTCTCAGAATTTCCAATAACATCTAGTAGGAAGACCTGAGTTTACCTTTTAACAACCCAACTAACATTTTACCCAAGCACTAAACCAAATGTCTTGGATCATTTCTTTTTTTCACTAAGATAATTTGGCGTTAATTCATAATAGTTAGGCTGCTTCTGGTAAGACTTTATGTATTCCCTTTTCTGCTCTTCTAATGTGCCAGTGTAAAGATTTCATATTCAAAATTGTATTATTTATTACTTATATTATGACTTAAAACAATAAATCTATCAAGGTTTAAAAGTTCAAGTCAATAAAATGCTGTCTATATTCCAACCACAACTTTTAAATATTCCAACCACAACTTTTAAAAAACATATTATGCCAAATGCATGATATTTTAATTCTTTGGTGATATATTGAAGAATGATATTCCAAATTATATTATTCATACAATGAATCAGTAGAGCTTAATTTTTTAAAATGCTGGAATGAAGAAAGAAATTTACTATGCTCAAAGCTCTTGGTTAATTATGCACTTTAATATAAGGGCAGGATAGCAAATCACACCTTAGTTTTTTTAACTTTAAAGACAATGAATAAGCCACTTTGTGTGAAAACTGATGTGTGTCCTCATTCAAATGCTCTACTTTTTCTTTGTGGATGCTGTCAGAGTTGTGAGGCGAGAGTAGATGTTGGCCAGATGAATGCAGACTATTCTCCACAGTTGGTTACCTGCTTAGGTACACCTGTTCCCGGAAGGATATCGGGTGACTTCCATAGGTGTGTAGGGAAAAAAAAAAAATAGGAGTGTAGAATATTTTCTTCTCCTTGCCTGGTCATGAAACCTCAAGACAGCATAGCTGCTGGTTAAACAGGGAAGAAACATCTGCTTCTGGTGTTGCTTCCTGACCTTTTACTGCCTTTGCGCAGCTATCCTTATGTGCGCATTGTGAGTATATGCTAAAGTCTCCTTTGAAGGCAACTCAGGAAGTAACTGGTTTTTGTAACATTTATGCAATAACATTTATGCAACATTATGCAACATTGATGCAATATGCAATTAGAGATGATAATACAATTAAAAGAAAAGGCAGGGAACAATACACTCCTTCATCCTTAATTTCCAAAAATGTTCCCATATTTGTTATATGGACATAAAATGAATTATCAACGTGTCACTGGAAGGCGGGAAGGGTCTACAACATGACTTCTGCTCTGAAGGCTTTTTTTTTTTTATTAAATGAAACCCATAACATTGATGTTGGGTTAAAAAAAAGATGTACCAGACATAGTTCTGTTTATGAATGAACTTAGCTTCCACCTGAGGAGGTAAAATACATACATGAAAACAGCGAAGTAATTTGGGAAAACTGATAGTATGAAACATTTTACAAGGTAGATTTTATTCAAGAGTTAAATGAGTAAGTTTTATCCGTTTGGGAAAGGAAAAAGTGTGGTTCAAGATTTTTTTGGGTCTCTTTTAGGAAAGGTGAGCCAATGTTTATGACAGATATAGTGAAAGAGGCATTGAAAGGTGGGGAAAATTGTAGAAGTGTGTAGCGAGGTGAAAGCATAGAGACCTTCAGTCACCTGGTTGGTTGGTTGTGCTGGCTGATTCATGAAAGCAGGAAGTGGAAATGAAGCTAGAAAGATAAAGAAGAGCAATTTTGGAGGGTCTTGAATGCTCAACAAATTCAAACTTTATTCTATGGTCAGAATGTAATCGAAAGCTTTTGAGTAGAAGAATATATTAAAAAAAAACACCGTTTTGTTTTTTCTGAATAGAAGTTTTGATGGTGGCATTATGCACAAATTTTTCTTCTAATTTTTGTATTATATGTTCTACAAGTGTATTTATGTCAACAGTGGAAGCAAATTAAGAAAATAATAAACATGAGAAAGCTATATTTTAGGCAAAACAGTGTGGTGATGGTATATGGGATAATTGCATATACTGATGCTGGGGAAGGTAAAACCTAAATCCCAGTCAACTCTTTGGGTTAACCACAGGCACGTCTGCATATTCCTGTTATTGCCTATGAGCCTTAAGAGTTGTTTTATGTTATAAAAGGGTTAAGAAGAAGTAGTCATCAGAAATAATAGGATCACATAATTTTTTAAAAAATAGAAAAATCTGTCATACATGCAACCAACTGACTGTATTCCACTTATAGTAAATTAGGTGTTCTAAACAGGTTTTCTACCAAAACTTATTGAAAATAGCATTTTGTTGCTATGACAACTGAGAATAGCAATTGGAAACTAGAACATTAAAGGTGAGACAGAAAAGACAGACAAATAGTTCATATTTAGCTATATGGTATTCCTTTTGAGTTTTTATAAATCCAAGGAAGAATTTGAAATTCTTGAATATTCAAAAATGAAGTTTTTCTCCTTAAAATCATATAGATTTAGAATGTCCAGTTATATTTGCATTATATGTTGGTTATTAAATAAAATGAGTCAAGTCTCCTTCATTTCTCCTGGATCGCAAAAGCCTTCATCTATTTGAGCTATGATTGATTACTTTTGGTAGATCCTGAATGTTTTGACCCTTAGCTAGGACATATATCTATTTATTGATTGAAATTCTGATTTTCAAAGTGTACTTTATGAATCCTAAGGGTTCCACAAAATATCTCTAGAGTTTCTTTGGAAAGAAATATGATCATTATGGCCACTTGATTTGGGTGTTTTCTATTTCTTTTAGGTATCACCTCAACACCACACTAAAAATGGCCAATTGTGGAGCTCAGGAAAGGAGCAGGTAGCTTCATAATTCAGAAAGTTTGCAGCAATTTGATAAAAAAAATTACTAGTTTTAAAAGATTCATTTATTTGAGAGAGAGAGCACACGAGCAAGGGGAGGGGCAGAGGGAGAGAGTGAATCCTCAAGGAGACTCCACGCTGAGCACGGGGCCCACCGAGGGCTCAATCCCAGGACCCTGAGATCATGACCTGAGCTGAAATCAGGAGTTGGCTTCTTAACCGATGGAGTGACCCAGGCACTTATTCTGTAATTACTATTTGTAGGCTTTTGAAAAATCTTAATTGATATCAACATTTATTGAATTCCTAATACTAGGTCCTGGGATACCGTATCATGGTAACATGATATCTGCCCTAAAGGAAATTAATGTGTGCACATAAAGAGACAAAGTACCTAACTAACTACTGGAGGAGAAGTATAATGTAATATTTTGAAAAATCAGGGCAAGAAAATATTTTTTTAGCTTCATAAAAAAGTAAAGCATGAAAAAAATTTTTTTTCTGGCTACTAAAAAATAGATCTTATATAGGAGGTGACAGTCAACCACGTGGAAAATATCAAGGTGTAGATGGACACTGTTTTGGGCAAATTAAAACTTTGCCAGGCACATCACACATCAGGACATGTGTTCACTGTACTCAGGGAAGATGTTATTGACAGGAGTATATAGCCATGTGGAAGTAGAAAAACAAAATTTAGAATCTCTATCATTATCATCTAGGAATGTACATCTGAATTTTGGACTTGTGCATGCCCTCTCATAAAAAATACAGCTATAATGAGGATGAGTCCACATTTCTGCAGAGTAGGAGGATACATTTAAACTAAGATTCTTGAATATAAGCGACATGGATTACACTTGAAAATCTCCCGCCTTGCGAGTCTTTAGTGTTAAGTAAAGGCAAGGGAGGTTTGGAGGGTTGGAAGCCTTCTCTGCCACAGGAGTAAGCAAGTTTGGAGGAGAGGAGGCTGTTCTTCTGTCCTTCTGTGCTGGATGAAGTTATCCAAGGTCCATCCCCACCCACCACCCTCATTCATGTAAGCAGGAAAAGAAGAGGGAGAAATTCCAAAACCTGGCTTCAGGTGAAAGTAAAAAACTTATAATTCAGAGATACATTCATTCTTTTATTTATTTGGTAAATATTTATCAGGTACCTACCGGTGGGGAATAAAACCAGCCCAAAACTCATGATCTAGTGGGAAAAGACAAACATTGAACAAGTAAACAACTATGCCCCCAGTTGTAACAATAAGTGTGAGATGTGCTCACTAAATGTTTGTTGAATGAGTAACAGATGCAGTCGTAAATATAAACTGGGAGTGGGATAAGCAGGGGAAGATTTGGATTATGTGGTCAGGGAAAGTCATTCTGCAGATCTAGGCAGAGGCAGAAGGATAGTGCCATCTCTTCCATTCTGATCATCCACACTGAACTATTAACTTGAGTTGGGGAAAACAACGTAGAGTCTGGTAGAAGATTCCATGGTCCTAGTGGCCTTCAACGTTAGAATAAGCCATGTGGAGGAATATGTTTAGGGAGAGGTTGATGTCTATGGGGGTGGGGGGGAGATTGATTAAGGGATTAAGATATTGAGGGTCCCATTTTATTTCCAGGATTTTTTTCAAAGTCATTAGAATTACATGCTAATGAGCCGCATTGGAGATGAACCCGAATTCGCAACGATTCTCCCAGTCTTGTTTGAAGAAATTATTATCTTTTTGTAACTGTTGTATTTGACTTCATAAATATTTAAAAATCTAATCCAGTCTTCATTTTTCTGTTTCAGATTAAATGACTCCTACCTGTTAGAGAAGATAGGAAGTACTTAGCTAATACATTCATGATTTCTTGTCTCTCTGATCTTGAAAGCTCTTGAAAACTAAGGTTGCCTTATGAATCTTCGTGCCCATTCTCTAGAGAGCAATTGTATTGCATCAAGTTTTTATGGAGCATGGTTAATTTATTTATTGTTGGTATAAGGGATTTGACAATAGAAATGTACTTACTTTTATTATTATTTTTTCCCCTTTCTGTTCAGGTTTATTTTAAAGGAGTTTCTTTGGAATGCAGAATATGTAGCCTTTATTACAGGTAAACGATAACTTTTATATGTAAAAAAATTAAGTCTAGAGAAGAAAGAGACTTCTATGGATGCTGATATCTATGAGTTATCTGATAGTATGTTCCTTGCTATTCCCCAAATTTCCATTTTGCTGTGCTGCAGTGTACACATACATTTGGCACGCAAGCCATTTACCCTGAGAAACAGTGTATGAATAAATAGCAAAGTGACAGATGTACCTCCAGAAGGATATTTAAATTGATTTTTGTCCTAATACCTTTGTTTTCTTTCCCCCCAGTTCCCTCTAACCTGATGCGTCATTCCACACACCCCAGTTTATTGCTATTATGGTTGCTTTAAGACCATTGTTTTTTAGTCACTTGATATTTTTGGAGAAATGCTGAATATTTGTGAATATCATAAGGACATATTTTATATTTTCTAGGTCTTTAGTGATTCCTTTTTCTGACAACCTTTACTTTTTAACAAAATAGAACACTTTTATAGAAAAAAATCTTGGTTCATCAAATATTCATTCATGGTTTTATGGACTCTTAGTTGGATTGTCTTTCACTCAACACCCATTTTTATTTTGCTTTGTTTGAATTTTCCATTTATGTGGCATTTGTGATATGTTGATCTGTTACTCAGAGGACCAAAGCAGATTTTCCAGGACTCTTAGTTTCTGATTTATTTGGAAATCAAATAAGAAAGTGTACCCATTCATTATAAATTGACCATAGTTTTTTTTTTAAGATTTTATTTATTTTTATTTTAGAGAGAGAGAGAGAGAGAGCATGCTAGTGGGGGAAGGGGCAGAGGGAGAGGGAGAGAGAATCTCAACAGACTCCCGGCGGAGCATGGAACCTGACACTGGGCTCCATCCCAGGACCCTGAGATCATGACCTGAGCTGAAATCAAGAGTCCGACGCTCAACCAACTGAGCCACCCAGACGCCCCTATACTCTTTTTTTAGAAAGAAAGAAAGAAAGAAAGAAAGAAAGAAAAAAGAAAAAAGAAAAAAGAAAAAAGAAAAAAGAAAAAAGGAAAGGAAGGGAGGGGAAAGAAGGAAGAAAAGGAGGGAAGAAAGGAAGGAGGGAGGAGGAAGACAAAAAAAGGAAGAAAATTGTTAGTCTTTCTTAATTTTAAAGAAATAGAACTTTATATAAAGCTGAAAAGGACTTTAGAAATAATATAGCTTAGTGATTTCCAGCTTCTTTGAGTATGAAGCCCTAATTTTACATACATATTTTTCTAGGACCCCACATAACAACTGTTCTTCCAAGAAATATTAATAAATATGTGGACAAAAGTTTTAGGAATTTAGTGACATTTAAAAATTCAATTTTCATCCATATACATTTGAAAAATTAGTGCATTTATGCAGATAAGACTTACTTTGGCTGGAGATAATTTAGTACACATGAAGATTAAGATTTGAAAAATTTGTGAAATAACAGCATTTCTGGAGCAGAATGCCATCCGGTCAGGAAGCATGAACTTCTCCAACTCATTCTTTTTATATTTTAAAAGTGAAAACTAAAAAAAATGAAGAAACTTGCCCAAAATTATATTAACTGAAAATTTAGATTTATGATTCTGCTAGCTAAGCAGTTTTTCCATATCACAATACTCAATGGGTAGTTTGTCAACTAAGTACCTAGATAATTCAGGCCTGACACTTGAAGTAAGGATGACCTTAGCTTATCCTTTTTTTGGGTTTAATTATCTCACCTTTGTTCAGTTGTGTTAATGTATATTAAGGCCAGATTCAGTAATTAAGTCAAGATCAAGAAGTATTTTTTTTAAAAGATTTTATTTATTTATTTGACAGAGAGAGACACAGCGAGAGAGGGAACACAAGCAAGGGGAGTGGGAGAGGGAAAAGGAGGCTTCCCGAGGAGCGGGGAACCAGATACGGGGGCTCGATCCCAGGACCCTGGGATCATGACCTGAGCCGGAGGCAGACGCTTAACGACTGAGCCACCCAGGCACCCCAAGATCAAGAAGTATTGGTTCATGCTAGATTGATAGCAGTGGTACCCAGTTGCATTGCTTTAAATTAATACAGAAGCACTAAAAGGAAATTTTAACTTATGGAGTTGATATTTAGTTAGACATTCACATAAATTCATATGATTTTTCAAATCCGATAAGATATACTTCCATTAATTGAATTTTACAGATATTTTTAACTTCTCATCTGAATGGTCAGAGCATGTAACAGACTTGGTGGTTCCTAAATTTAACTTGGAGTGATAGGAAAGCATGTTTTTGTAGCGTTTCCAATTCTTTATTAAATTTCTAACAGCATTATGAACATTGACACTTTGTTAGATAACCCTGTCAAGGCTAAAGACTTCTATTGGAATTATAAAGAAAAGTCGAACTGGCTCTTTACTGAGGTGGGTCATGCATTCTACAGCGCAGACATGTTTTGAAAAGAAAAAATAAATCACGGGGGGAATTTGTCCAATTGCTCATTCTTGCATTTGAGCCAGTTACATACGTGCACAGATGTCAAGGTGTCATTTCTGAAGAATAGGGAGGATAAGCTTTGGATTCAATGCTTTCTTCCTGGAAATGACAACTAACTGTTAATTTAGAAAAAATAAACTGTTTTTGCTTACTGCTAAAATGGTTATATTGTAAGAGTCTTATTATTTCACTTCCAAATATTTGTTTTATGACAGCCTGGCAATATTGTTGATAGTGTGCAAGAGACTTATTAACCATCATTAAATAAAGGGTAATAGAATGAATAAATTAGTTAATATTGGATTTCAATAATATTTCAAATATATTAATTATAATAATTTTAAACATTGTAACAAATCTCCTTTGTAGACCATTGCAATGGACTGAATGTTTGTGTCCCTCCTCAATTCATATGTTGAAATTCTAGCCCCCAATGTGTGATGGTATTGGGAGGTGGGGTCTTTGGGAGGCAATTAGGTCATGAGGGTGGAGCCCTCATGAATGGGACCATGCCCCCAGAGAGCTCTGTATTTCTCTTTTCATCATGTAAGTATCTAACCAGAAGTTGGCAGTTTGCAACCCAGAAGAGGGCCCTCCCTGGAATCCTCCCATGCTGGTACCCCGATCTCTGATTTCCAGCCTCAAGAACTGTTAAGAAATAAAGTGCTGTTGTTGGTAAGTCACCTGGTCTATGATACTTTATTATAGGAGCCTGCACTAAGACAACCCTATTTGTCACTTTTTGCTCGGGAACTCATATGAATGAACCCTGCTGTGCCTGAGGCTAAAGCCACTGTATAGAGCTGACCCAGTGAGAAGCCGCTGAATGCACATCGGTGCCTGGAATTCAGACTGTCTGTCCTTGAGGCTTATTAATGGACATAAGAAACAGGTGCTTACGGGGGACTGCAGACATTTGCAAGGGAATAGAGACAGTGAAGGAGTAAGTTGTATATTTGGGACAGACAGATTCCATAGTGCACTATTAAGGGGCCTGATGTCACTTTTCAAAACTTTGGATTCCAAATATTGTGGCTTAATTGATGTTTCAGAGCCTCTGGAGACTCAGTGGTTGAATCATGCCTGAGATTTCTTTGGGACCACTCTTACTGAGATTACCTTTCTATTTTAGGTAGAGAAGAGCTACATTTTAGCTTGTTGAGTCAGGGTTGAGCTTTTTAGCTTAATCAGTTTGAAGTTCTTATTTGATTGTTTTTTTTTTTATTGGGCAGAGAATCTTAACTTGCAACAGCCCTCTCTCCTGATTGCCAGTCATGTGGTCTTATCCCACCTTGTTTTTGGGGAATCTGGAGGCCAAACTCTATACATGTGCAAACATTCCTCATATAACCCTCAGTTCTCTTGGTTGCCCTTGAGGGAACTCTTATCTCCTGATTGATTTGAAAGCAGTTCTTAAATCTCTGGAACGGAAATATGTTTTCTATAAGAGAGTCACTTGTCTTTTATGATACCTTATACATGCTTGCAGGGAAAAACAAAGTCATTTCTTAAAAAAATTAATGAGCTCCCCTTTGCCAATAGTGGCTTCAAGGATTGGCTGGCTTTTTAGGTATCTGAGCCATTTGGGATATTGGGGTGTACTAATAAGCAGGAAATTACACCCAGTGCTTAGATTGTAATCCACTGGTATTCCTTCCCAAAGATGGAACTTTTCATGACAGCTATGGGCCCATGTATATCTGAGAAGAGGATGGCACGGAAAGAGAAAGGAACTCCCATTAAGAATCCGGATTCTGCAGGCATTTGGAGCACTCAGGTAATCAGCCATTGAGGATCATCATCCTCAACCTGGACAAAGGCTAGAGAATTCCTACAAAAATATGTAATTCCTCATTCCTCTATGCTAACTATGACACTGCATGCTGACTTCGACTATAACATTTATACGTGTAGTCACTATTACATTTCTTTCTCCACACTGGACTGTGAACCCCTGGAGCAACACTCTGACCACAGCCACACCCAGTGACTTGGACATGGTTTTTAGGGCTGAGCTATAGATACCTTCATTGCTTTGAGGATTTATATTTTCCCCTTCCATTCAAAAGCCGAACAGTGACTGTTTCTTTAGGACACATAGCTAGTGGTGAATCTCACAGGTACAGACCCTCTATGAGATTAACTGCCCCTGGCCCTGCAATAAATTAGTAATTTAATGGTAATAGAAGGAAAAATAAAGTGGTAGACATCATTATAGTTATTGTGGAATTCTACTTCCCTAAGTAGGCTGGACTTCATAATCCTTCAGGTCTTTCTAAGTGCTAGAATTCTTATTCTGCAAGACTTGTTCTTCCTGTAGCAGGATTTACCTTCTTTTTTTTCCAAGAAAACAGTCCAGTAAATGTTCAGAGTATACTTGTGGCTTGTAAAAACCAAAGACAGGGAGGTGTTATAGGAAAATGTACCGCTCATTAAAATCAAAGGATTTTATTTAACAAATCCTGGTGCATTTAAAGCATCACAATGGGAAAATACCAATTCTATTGAAACTCATTATAAGTATGTCCTCAGGGTTCCTATCAGGGACCAGATGAAACTCTTATGAACTTCTTTCCAATACTCCAGATTAAACTCTAACACCTTTGGAGGGACTGATATAATAAAAACCAAGTCAAGTTATGGAAAATTGTCTTTGTAGGTTTTAGGATGCTTTATTTCTAATAGAAACTACAGATCACACATAGATGATTGCAAAGACATACATACAATTACATCCAGGAAATTCCCAAGTATTCAGAATATTTGTATTGATGGTTTTCTCCGGAGCTGCATTCTGAGATTGAAATCCGTTGGGAAAACCGTGCTTCAAATATTCTCTTCAATTTGCTCCTGTGGCAATTTAGTCAAACAACCTGCTTGGAAGTAATCTATTTGCAGAACCTAGGTGGGGAAAAACCTGCCACATCATATAATTCACTGAGCAGATTTTGGCTCCCACTTCGCCAATCCATCTTGAATAGTGGCTAGTGCCCTGCATCTAGCAATACATATGATCAAGCAATTTAGCACAAAAAGAGAAAGGCCCCACAACTTGGCATCCCCGTGGACATTAATCTTTGAGAAAACCAAATGGATCTAACTTTTGCCAGAGTTTAATAGCAAAGCTGTCACATTTTACACAAGTGAGTATCGGGTCTGTTAGCCAAAGGAGAAGGGGCCAGGAGAAGCGGAGGGGAGGAGGTGGGGCTGCTGACTGCACTCTCTTCAGAGCGGCTCCAGTTTTCAGGGGAGGGGCCAGGACGCTCCGCATAGCGGGAGAGATGAAGTAGTTAAAAATTACCGCCAGCGAGGGGCCGGAACCTCGGGATGCGGTATATAAGAGCGCGCCTCCAGCGCAGAGCTGCTGTTGTTGCTGCCACCGCCGTGAGAGCCGGGACTAGGCACACGCGCTCAGCCCCTCGCTAGCCAGAGGCCCGGGAGAGGAACAAAGGGGTCGGGTGGGGTCCAATCCGGGGCTCCTGCTTCACCCCCCGGGCAGACACGGGGCCCTCTAACTTCTGTTTCCTCTCCTTCAGCGCGCACCAGCCCGGTTGTGCGCTCTAGCGCAGCACACCCGCGCGCTGCAAGGGCGCGCCCGGCTCCAGGCCCGGCCAAAGACGATGAGTGCAGGGGGCCGGCCAGCTGGGCTCGGGCGGGAGTAGGGTCCTGCGGGGAGGCGGGGAGGCAGGGAGGCTCAGAGGTTAGAGCTCCGACTGCGCGGCGGGCAGAGGTCTTCTTTTCTCCACGCACACCTGCTGCTGTGGCCGCGCCGCGATGAGCCGCGTGGTCTCACTGCTGCTGGGCGCCGCGCTGCTCTGTGGCCACGGAGTTTTCTGCCGCCGGGTGGTCAGCGGTGAGTCAGGGGGCTGCCCGCCGAGCGGAGGAGCCAGGAGAGGGCACCGCGGGGTGCGCGGACGAGGGCGGTGCGGGGCCGCCTGTTCTGGGGTCAAGGCTCTCCCGGAGGTGGGAAACCTGTGCGGGGTAGAGGGCTGGGAGGAGCCGGGGGCATGGCGGGGAAGGGGAATAGATGGCGGTTTGCTTTCTTCCCCGCCCCCCAAAAACAAGCGCAGAGAAAAGTTTAAATTTTTTGGAAGTGCCTGGTTCAGTAGCTGCGAAGCGAGCTCTGTTACAGCGTTTTCCAAGAGTAATTTTCACTTTCTTTGTAAGAGTTGGCCACAGGGCAGGGCTTGGCACCTGCAAAAGGGGTGGGGTACCATGGAGTGGGCAGAGGAAACCCAAAGCCATTAAGAACCGCAGAAATGCCACCCCCTGTTGGCCTGGCTTGACTTCAGTCCCTGCACTGTGTTCACTTGGATGGTTTCCGAGGCCAGACCTGCTGGCTGTGGGTCGCTCACAGTCTCCTGGGCATGTATGCAGCCTTTGTTCTCAGGGAGTGCTGACAAAAGAAGAGGGGACTTACTGGTCATTGTGTGTAGACACCTTTCCTTTGCACACCTTATTCCAAGTTGGGGACTTTTCAGAAAAGGAAGACCGGTCGAGTTGGCCTGGGGTGTACATGGTAATGAAAACAGGTTCGTGCACACAGTGGGCGCCCAATTAGGTGGGTCGAGTCAGTGCAAGGGAAATGGATCAGAATTGGCAAGCTTCCAAGCATTCGTTCTGATTTTTCTTTTTCTTCGACTTTCACTGTTCTATTGTTGAGCAATTTATATCGCATTCACCCTCCTTACTTTTTGGGACGTCTCTTAAAAAAAAACAACAACAGGAAGATTCTCAAAAACTTAGGAAGAATGAATAGTGCCTTACATGCAAATTGAGCATAACTATCCCTATTGTAATTTCTTGCAATGCTAATTAAAGTGTTGCAATAAATATTTGTTGAATGTATGTGGGAATGTGTTTTAAGTGTGGGCTTTTTTTTTTTTAATGTAAAAAGCACAAAATCCTTTTCACATTCTGTTCATCTGTATAACAGGTGTCACTAAAGGTAGGGGTAGATGACAGATGACATCAACTTAATCGGTAGTGAAGCCAGACCTTTAGAAACTGGCATATTAAACTTAATTGTTGCTGATCTCCCCCTCAGCAATATGTGATCTTCTACATCTTAAGAATATAATTCTTCAGTGTCTAGTTATCAATCACTCACTGCTGACTTTTTTGGCCCTCTGGAGATACTGGAATTAAATACACTGTGAACTGTTATTTGGACATGCATGCTGCTTACATTTGGGAGGCAGGGAGAGAAAATCAGGCTCTTTATATTGATAAAATGAAAACTTTACAGTACCAAGTAAGGATGTTACAGGAGCCATACATTAGATCTCTTTCCCCCTAATTTAGCTTTGAAGAAAAAGTTCACTATATAGATTTGAATGTGTAAATTGCATATTTGACTGTCTTTGTGTCTATGAGAATTACTCTTACAAATGAATGACCAGCAGAGATCAGGCTTTTAGCATATGGTGTGTTTTAAACACACAGAAACATTTCATTGCCTTAAATAGTATCCTTTTGGTATATTCTTGTTTGTATGCCATAAACTTTGCAAGGGAGAAGAAAAAATATATAAAGTAAAAACAGAACTTAAAATATTTTGATGAAAAGTTTATTTTGTGTTCCATTATTGCATAAATTGTTGCAAACCTTTTGTTGTGTTTTCCTGTGAAGTATTTATAGGCATCTTGTAGGTGACATCTGGAAAATTTCTAATTAATTGAACATGATCTATTTGATTTAGCATAAATGATGATGTTTACTTGATATCAAAACAATTACTTAGTTATGTTTTTTTATGAATAATTTAATTGCCTTTGGCCATAAAAATTCACATTAAAATTGGACCGTTATAAGTTTGTGACTTTATCCTTTGAAGACAATTTAAAAAAATATATTTTAGCCACAATAGTATGAGTACAGACAGTCTAAAACATGACATGTTGGAAGTAGTAGGTCTAATGTCTGCCTGATCCAGTGTTAAATTCTGAGTGGTGCATCAACTTTTACCTGCCACTGGGGACCAAAATTCTACTTGAGTGTCTGTCAAATGAAACAAGCTCTTTGGGGCTGTTATTAGGAACATACTTATAACATATGGAATGCATTTTCTGTTTTTGTTAAATATCAGTACAGCTATTTGTAATTTCTGTGTAGTGTACCAGAATAATTACTTTCCCCAGAAAATAGACAGGAACTCACAAAATAATCCTTTATAGAAATTTTCTTCATTTTAGTACTTTAAAATATTAAATAAGATACTTTCCAATACTTTTAAATACCTCACTGTTTTAAAAGCTGATAGCATTATTTATAAATGAAATAAAAATATTTTAACAAGAAATAAACTTTCAAACTTCATCATCATAATCTGCCCCATAAGAGTGAATAGCATCTAGCAGTAATAGGAAAGTATTTTTATAGGTTAGTGGTCATGCTTATTTTGATGCATGAATATGTAATAAAATATATAACCATGAGAGTAATTTAATGAATTAGAGTATTTAATGAAAGAGTACTTAATGAATTTATGAGTCAAAGTTGGAAGTACTTTTAGGATTTTAGATTTGTACCGATTTGTTGCTGAACACAGATATGTAGAGAATATTTGTGGGGAGTACAATCATTTAATTCTGTGACTTGACTGGTATATATGAAAAAGAAGTGTTCAGGGGCGCCTGGGTGGCTCAGTTGGTTAGGCCTCCAACTTGGTTTCAGCTCAGGTTTCTCAGGGTCATGGGATCAAACCCCACGCCAGACTGCATGCTGGGCGTGGAGCCTGCTTGAGATTCTCTCCCTC